TATATTCTATAACCCCACGGTAGGGTGTCGGTCGTACCAGGAAGAATGACCCTCTTGTCGTCATTCCAGCTCAGTGCTATTTTTCTCTGTTCAACGGTATAAACTTTATGTTTTTTACTTTGAATTAAATTTTGACATTTTATTAAATTTTGATGATGTAAAAGACATTGAATATAATCATTAAAGGTAATTGTTTTCAATGTGGAGGCCTTGACTCCTCTCGCGCGTTTTTTATCTTTGTTTTCACCTAATATTTTGAAAGAGTATAATTTTGCTCGCAATCCTACAAATTCAATCATAATTTTTTCATTAATTTCATCCTTCATTAATCCTAATACTTTTTTATTTACCAACGGTATATCATACACATTATAGAACACGATGAATTTTTGTTAACTTTAGACCTAATCTCAAACACTGTTTCAAATTCTTATAATGAATGACGTATCTTTTTTTAGGGAGGAGCGAAGTTATCAATTTCGAATTTTTAGAGCCTGGAGGAGTGTATTGTTGCGGGCAGAGTGGCAAATCTTTATGAAGTTCTTGAAGATCGACAGGATACTCCAAATCAATTTCGAATATGTAACCCGTAAGAGAGTCATCGGGAATATTGCAAATATCCAATTGATCAAAATTTTCTTCCCATTCGAATGAGCCTACTGGTAAAGATTGACTCATAGCTGCACCGTATAAATTATTTACGTCATAATACATAATATACGATTCCTCTTTGCTTGGATCGAAATCAGCTCCCATGTACCTATTGTTGGTCCTGGCGTATCTGTTGGAGCATTGAGCTACGCCACCTCGGATACCTCTCTCGATAAACAACATCTCCACATCAGTCACCAGCTCAAGTTCAACACCCGTACATTTGAGCATTGCGTCGAAAGCAAGGCCCGGTGCAGTGTAATAGTGTAGAGGATCTAAATTGTATATAGCGTAACAGTTGCGTCTAAAGTTTTTAAAGATATCGGCTAGAAGGAGAACATCGGTTTTCAGATACAAATCAGAATATTCGCCTAATGTTTTTATGTGAAAAGTCTGCAAAAAATTGCAAGCGTGATCATAATCTGCTTCTGAGATTCCTTCGTTATTTAATTTTGAATAAAATTCTTCTTTTGTAGGTAATTGATCCTCTTTGAGTTTTTCCCAATTATCAATATATTCGTAGGGAAAAACACCTTTTCTAGTCAATAAATGGAATTCCTCTATATTATTACAATGTTTACGCGTAATTAATTTTTCACCATCTTTCAAATAGGATGCTAATTTGTCAATACTATTCGGCATAAATCTAAATGAATCGATAAATCTGAAATTTACAATCGTATCTTTGACGCAGTTCGTAAAAGATATATATCTTTCTTTGTTTACTGGTAAGAGATTCATTGAACCCTCGAAAGATGTAGCTAGAGCTCTAATCAAGAAGTGTGAATCATAACCAGATAAGTTATGAAATACGACAGGAACGGTATGTGAGTTCTTATAGTTCAAATTACAACCCTGATGCGCAGCACCGCGATATTTGACTGCAAAATGGCAATGATCACGATGCTTGGCATTCTGAGGTGTAAACGGTTTTTCACAAACATGACAAATCTTGGCCGAGTAAAATTCATTTCTTTGTTTGAAATTTAGAGATTCCATTGGTACGATACGTTTTAGGTAAAACTCTACAACTTGAGCTAATTCCTGTAATTGATTCATAAACCATTCCACGCAATCTTTTCCACGATAAGCTCTAAATTTAGA